AGTAGCTGGAACTACAGGCACGGGCTACCATGCCGGGCTAATTTTTGATTTATTGTAAAGACGAGGTCTCGCCAAGTTGCCCGGGTGGGTCTCGAACCCGCGAGCTCAGGGAATCCACGCACCTCGGCCTCCCAAAGTGCTGGGATTACAGGCTGAGCCATGAAGCTCGGTCGGGTTTTTGTTTTTTGGTTTTTTTTTTTGAGTCGGGGTCTCACGCTGTCACCCAGGCTGGAGTGCAGTGACACATTCACAGTTCACCACAGCCTCGACCTGCCGGGCTCAGGTGGCCCTTTCACCTCAGCCTCTCAAGTAGCAGGACTACAGGCCTGTGCCACCACACCCAGCTGCTTTTGGGTTTTTTTGTCCTTTCTTTTTTGTAGCGACGAGGTCTTGCTCTGGGACTCAGGCTGGTCTTGCAGTCCTACGCTCCAGCAGTCTCCTTCCCCAGCCTCCCCAGGCGCTGGGTCTCCAGGTGTGGGATGCTTCGCCCCCAGGATTGCTTATTCCGGCGACTGAGTTTCTGCCTGGGCTTCCTCAGCCACGCCTCCCCCGCGTCCCAACTTCCAGACTCCTGGCAATCACTCAGCTTTCTCGATGAGCTTCTGTGACCACTGCAGTGGGAAAAACCACCGCCACGCACTGGGGGCAGAGGACACCGAGGAGTTGGCATCAAAAGGGGTGCCCACGCGGGAGCAGTGAGCCGGCACGTCCGCCCCGGCCGCCGCATCACCCCGAGAGCCGTGGGGGGGATGGGCCCAGGAGCACGCTGGCAGGCGGCGGCGGACATGACCTTCGCGGGATGAGCCCGACTTGCGGTCTTGGTGTGGCACTGGCAGACGTGTGGGCAAGTGCACTTGACGTTCAGAAAATGCTTCTCGAGGACCCCCTGTGAGAGCCAGGCACTGTTTTTGGGCACCTTCTAAAAAGACAAAAAGTAAAGACGAGAGCCACCGCCTCCGAGAAGCCCACACCTTCATGACTCAGCATCTCCACACCTCAGCCTTCTCATCCATCAAGTGGGCCGAAGAGTTCTCTCTGCCAGGGTTTTCCTGAGGATTCCAAGCGGCGGCGGGTCTGACCAGAGGGCGTGGGGCACCGTCGGCTAACATTCACCAAGAGTCACCACTCTGTGCGCGGTGGCACTTCCCGTGATTCCAAACAAAGAGGACAAGGAGAAAAGACATCACACTGAAGCTTGGGAAAGGGAGGCAGAGCGAGAGCCTGCCGGCTGACACTCCGCTTTTTCAAACGACAGAGCGTTTTCGCAGGCCCGAGGGCCATCCCGACGGGGAACAGAAGGCTGAGGGGAAGCAGGTGACAAGCGGCCTGCGGGGGCCTGGGACTGGCGGGACGGCGCAGAGTCCACCTCCGTGCCCAGCCTCGGGCGCCGCCGACCCCCACGCGTCCACGTCCCCCGCAAGTCCCGCGTCTGCTCCTTCCGCCTGCCTCTGAGCCACGTTCCTGCCCTGCCCCCACCCCGCGTCCTCAAAGTCTGCCTCCACAGGGCAGCTTGATCCCGGTCCGGTGTCTTTGCAGCCTTTTCCTCCACACCGGCGGCGGCGCCTCCTCCACGCCCGTGGCCGCTCACAGGCCGTGCAGACGGGTGGTCTCTGGAAGTGGCTGTGCCCCTGCCGCTCTGGCCGCGTCCCTAGCTGGGGAATGGAGGTGGCGGAGCAGCAGGAGGGAGAGGCGAGGACCAGGTGTCTCAGGAAGGGACGGCGAGGCCCCCTTTCCCGCAAGCAGAGGGCCCGAGCTGGTGGACGTCGCCATGTGCCAGGGAACAACGGCGTGATGGCCACACAGGGTCTCTGCGCTAGAGAGAGGCGGGGGGTCCCGGGCTGGAGCCTGAAGGTCCCTCCTCACATGTGTGTTCACGAGAAGAAGGCCTGGCCTCTCAGGGACGCAACACGCTGCTGTGCGGCTGTCAGGTGGCGCGCACAGAGCCACGAGGAGGCCCTCTCCGGGTCCCTTGGCCTCACACCTCTGTCCCCACATCCGCCTAGGGGGCGAGGAATACCGTGCCCACCATGAGGTCGCTCCGTGACTTAGCACGTCCAGCCTCCGGACGGCATCGGGTGCCCCAGGCGTGCCCGGAGTGTGACCACGGGCGGAGGAGAGTGCGTGTCTCGGGAACGGCAGGGAGGCAGTGCGACTCAAGCACAGAGGACCGCGGGGAGCCACAGACGAGGCCGGCAGGAGGACGAGGTCAGGGCTGCCAGGGTTCTGCGGGCCTTCACACGGCGAATTGCTCTGCCTGCTGAGCGGAGGAGAGGCCGTGGAGGCCCCAGAGCCACGTTGGGAGGCCGCAGCCTCCAGGAGGCAGGAGACGGCGGGTCCCTTGGGGCAGTGGAGGTGTCAGGGAGAGGCTCGACCGTGGAGCCCACAGGACCGGCCACTGGTGTGGACGTGGAGCACGAGATGAAGAGCCCAGTGGGACACGGCGTGGCCATTGCCGGGCACAGAGGAGGTGGTGGCTGAGGCACGGGAAGGGCCGTGGAGCACGGGGGTTCAAGCCGCGGCTGGAGGCCCACGGGGGCATGGTGCGGACGACACTGGGCCTCCGACGAGCCCTGTGCGGGGGCCGTCACTCCTCCCTGGACTCCCCGAGCACGTCTGGAAGCTGGTGGGGTCAGCAGGCCTCGCGTTCGAATGAGCATCGTGGCACAGTGAGAAGGGCACCGGGAAACACCAGCTCTGGGGCGAGCCCCATGACGCCGCCTCTGACTCCTCTGGACCTGCTTTCAGGCCGAGAGAGACGCCGTGCTGCCGGGAGTCTGTCAAGCGCAGACGCTGATGCCTCCTCGCCGGCAGGCCTGTGGGTGCCAAAGGCCGCTCCCAGCGGGCTGGTGGGGGTGAGCCCTCTTGCTTTCTTCAAGGCAAACACCGTCCAGATCTATCCTCTCTCTGGTCCTCTGTCTTGTGCGTAGCCACCAGCATTTGGAAAGAATGGGGGCACTCCCGGCTGCAGGCTTCTGTGAGAAACCCCGACCAGAGTGCGCAAACCTGGGACGTGGGAGAGGAAGCCGCCAGCGGTGCCCCAGGCACCTGGCTCACCTTTCTGCAGACCCCTGTGCTCCAAGCTCTGGGCATGGGGGCAGAGATGTGGGGTTTTGTCAGGGCCAGTCCCACAGTGCTGGACCAACTCTCGATAAGATCAGCACTAGCCAGGTGCGGTGACTCACCCCTGTAATCCCAGCACTTTGGGAGGCGGAGGAGAGAGCAACCTAGGCAACTTGGTGAGACCTTGTCTCGGCAGTAAGTAAACCAAAAAAATTAGCTGGTGTGGTGATGCACATCTGTTCCAGCGACTTGGAAGACTG